AAGTTAGTTAAATGAGCATTTTAGAAGCAGCAATGCAAGTACTGTAATATATTAGCATAATGAATTGTGAGAACTAACAATCAAGCCTTGGGCAAAAACTTCATTGCTTTATATTTGCCCAGTCAGCTTTGAATTTCCTTATGAATGCTTAGACAATGGCAGTGAAAGCAGCCTATTTTGCAGGCAAAGCAGCTCTCTGCTACTGCGTTCAGCAATTTACATAATAATAAAATAACACACAAACCCTGGTACTGACAAGCGTTGGGTATTTTTGTTACAGATATCCGGTCTGACCTTTTAATATATTAAGCAAAAGTTTCATACATAACCCCATAAATTTATTAAGCTAAACACATACCACGTGCTTTTGGAATTTAAGGTTATAATTACCTCAGGGATCTACAAGCAGAAATCTCTCAATTTCGTTTTGAATAGCACATGCAGATGAAGAAAAAAATGTAGAATTAAAGGCTGTATTAGCTAAGCTATGATATCTTTCTAAACAGCACTGAAACTCTAATTTCTTTTGCTATGTTGACTCCAAACTCAACAAGATCACTAAAGCTACTGCCTGTCAGGTTAGCCCCTCTGACTTTCTTACATATGTAAATTTGATCAATAAATAAAAATGCCCAACAAATTAGCAGATGGACTACTCCAAGCCTTTCACTCAGAAAGGTCAAATTGTTTAAGAAATAGCTTTTTGCACTGTAAACCAGTATCATTTTAAGTTACATAGCTAATATGAACTTCATTATTACTACTTCCGTAAGTCTCAAAACTTGAATCAGTAACAGCACCTGAAACTTTCAGAAGACCCTAATGGGGTTCATGTATTTTTTGACAGTCAACATCCTCCGTCTTAAAAGTATCTTACACTAGATATCTACACTGGGAGATTAAACGCCACTTTTAAGCTTCCAACAAGTGAAAGAACAAAACCAAACCCCTAAACTTAGAGATAGAAGAGAAACAGTTTTTGTGCTTGGACATAAAAAGTGCAAAATCATTAAAAAGAACAGCCATAGTTGCATAACTAATTTACAAAACCACTTCCTCTCTTTTTAAGACTCATTTCTATGGTGACGTACACAAGAAATCATGTATTAAATAAACATATTCCAAATCCCTAACTCAGGAGCACCTTTTACAACTTAACTTAGAGTAAAGACATATGAATAAAAGCGAATATTTAAGAGTTGTGCTTACTTCACCGTATCACTCTACCATTCAGCAAGTGTTTCTCATAACTGACTTCAGTTGTTAAGTCTTGGAACAGAAGGAACCTGACCCTGTGTGGCCTTTGTACAGCAAAACTCTAATATTAGAAAAGATTTGCAAGTGTTCCAGTTTTGAGACTCCCTTGCCATGTGAATAGGTTAAAAAAGCCCTCTAAAAAAGGGGGATTTTATATTATTAGGCCATATACTGTTTTATATCTCTGAAAGCTAAATAAGTAGCTGATGGTCAAATTATAACTATTGTACCCTACCATAAAAAGTCTTGTGTTATTTTACAAAACTTTAAAAATTTGTGTTCTATTTCCCTCCCCAAAGTTATGCACAGTTGTAAAATCAAAGGTACAGTCCAAGCAAGGCTTTAAAATTGTGTTCAAACACTTTCCCAGAGTAATTTTTCCTGAGACACACAATTTGTTTATAAACACGTATTACTCACATACTGTTTTATAGTTCTCAAATGGTTTTGAAACCATTTGCACAATTTCCTCGCTAACAGAGATTACACAAAATTATGAGGGCAAGTTTAGCACTACATGTAGAGCTACGTATAAGAAGGCAGAGTGGCAGAGCTAATAAGGTGTATATTGTACACCTTTTTTTCCAAATAATCTGGCCAGAAGTTATTGGGAATTTCAAATTTTTGAATAATTCAACTTTTTTTGTCTGACTTCCTTCTGGATTTTATACACAATAATAGCTTTTATTTTGCCCACCATAGCATAGTAAACTTAGAGTATCAAGAATATTCAATATAACAGAAAAAAGGCCTGATAGTGCTATCTTAAAAAAATAAAGATATACTCCATAACAATATATAAAACATACTAGGAATCTCAGAATGCTGGGGTGCTAAAAAGGTATTTTGGCTAAGTAATTTGTAAAGTTCACTCATTCTTCTGTGCCTTGACAAGTCAAATGCAAAATTTCCAAACTCACAGGAATTAAAAACTTTTATCACATAAACAAAACATACTTCAGTTCTATCAAAAAAGTAACTTTTGCTTCCACATCCAGTCACATTCCAGCAAACCCACATTTTGGGTGAGTGGGTGGGGAAGGTATTGTAATCCTGCATCAGGAACATGTCAGTAAGGTCTTTAATTCTGTACCATTTAATTTTCTGTAAGACCTATACTAATACTCCCTCAACAACAGCCACCTTTTTATTAGATTTTCTGGCTCTCCCTGATTGGAACATTTAACACTAAACTCTTAACTGCGAAGATTTCTGATGCATCTTCAGAAGCCCTGCACGCCACCACACAGTAACAACCAACAGAACTTACGGTGAAGATTCCAGTATGATGCTGTTAGCCTGGGTGGAAGATGGAGATCTGTGATTTACAAATACTTCACTCGGGGAAGTGTGAACTACATGGTCCACTAAATGTCCAACTGATGAGGGTCGTAATCGGGCTCCTTCTTGAGTGAAGGCAGAGTTGCGACTAAGAGGGAAAGCACAGCAGTGCAATGTGAAAAGTGTGTTAACAATCTGCATTTCTTACACCACTACAAAGGAATGCTAAAATAATTATTTCCTCTCAGTGAAAGCAGATGTTCACGTACATATATTTATTAAATAATTTAAGGTATCAAAAATCACTGAAACAACTGTTGTACATGCTATATTTCATAATTTTCTTTTTTTAAAGTGTTCAAAAATTATTTTCATAAACACTAAATGGCTTATATTTGCATTTTCTTTTCTTTTTTCAATTAAAGAAGCCTGAAAGTATTATCAAATGAACAGGCTACTGGACTGACAGTCCAGTCAATGAGAAGAAAAATGAATCCCCAAGCAGAAAAATCCTGGCTCTGTTCATGGCAGAACTTAACCAAAGTCATTAAGATGAACATTTTATCCTCTGCATCTTCTAGAAGAACAGTAAGCTTTCCACTGAGAATCTTATAATTTCTGTGACCCAAAATTTCGCCATTTGAAAACTGGCACAGTGACATAGGCATCTTTCTTAAAATGCTTTGAAACATGCATGATTAAGTTATGTTATGCTATAAGCATCATTATTACACAATCTTTACGATAATTTTAAAATGATACAGGTATTTACAACAACAGTCTTTTGAATAATATGCTGCAATGCCAAAGAATCTTAAAAACTTCTGGTTTATGTAACACAAAATTGGATAATACCAGTTCTTAAGTCAGCTTCAGCACGCTGAGAAAACTGGTTATGTTCAAAAGAAATCAGGAATGATTTTTCACTAACTATAAACATAAACCAGAAAGCTCTACCATGTGAAAACCGTAAGCTTTGAAAAGAAATGCAGAAAAATTAAGGGTAATAAACCTGCAAGGATTTCTGATTAAGTAATTTTCCCCAACGTTTTAAGCAGCAGTATTACTAGAATCAACTATTTCTAAAATATCACATAGATTTTATTATCAGCTTTTTCTTAGCCAAATTAATAATTTAGTTTTAACTGTGCTTGAGAAAACTCAAGCTCTCAAATTTAGGGTTGCGTGCTACATCTTACACTTTCTATAGGTTGCGTAAGAAGGACCTAAAATTCACCCCCAAGTAGCTTGGCTTACATGGAGCTAAATGTTCCAAAGAACCACTCAGCACATGACTTCTGAAGTTATTTGTCTCTGTAAACAGATTAATCCTTTTATTACACAAGCAAGTCACTCACATTAGAGATAGTAACTTCCAGGGAGAAAAGATTCAATGCTACTTACTGATTTGGGGTTCCAGGTGGAGATCGTGATGGTAGGCTCTGTGTTTCCAACCTGTCATCAGACAGTGAGTTCCTACTCACTACTTCCCAGTCCATCCCACTCATTAATTTCCGTGCCAAGGGTTTACTGGGGGATCTAGAAGAAAGTAAAATGACTAGCCAAAAATATATGAAGTAAGAACAAAATTTACATAAAATTCACCACAATGAAACTGATGTTCTATCATAACCAAATTATATGTAAGAAAGGAAATGTAATAATGCAAAACTATATTTACACGGGCAGTTCTGTATTTTGTTAGTATATTGTACTTCATTTTCTGTCCTTTGTACAAGAATGTCCATGAAATAAAATAAAGTCATAAAATACTGAAGGCAGACAGGCAAGATAGAAGAGGAACCCACTAAACTTCACTAGACATTTCTAACATCTCAAAGAGAATCTGACTCAGAGTAGTCATTGAGAGGCCTGAACTTAAAAATGAAATTAAAAAACAAAACAAACAAAAAAAAGCAAAAACCTCTAAGTAACACAACTATTCAGCCATCTCAGGAAAAATAAAGCAGTGGAAACATTAGCCCAGAAAAACTCCCAAAGACTCTGAAGAACTGTGGAGTAATCATCAACATCTCAATGCAGCTACAGAGTTTTGTTTAGTCATCAGGGATTTCCATCACGGTGACAGGCTTTCTTCCAGAAGATGTTTTGTCACCTGGAAGGAAGATGCCATCATTCTATTCAAACTTCTTTGTGGGTAACCAAACTTCATTTGATTTTGTGCCAGAAATATCCTTCAGGTTAAAGGTCTTTATCACCGGTGTTTTTATACAAAAGGAATCGTATTTTCTACTTGTTGACCTTTGACAATATTGAGGAAACTTTTTCTTTTTATTCTCCAGTCATCCCAGGATACCTACAGTCCCCTTTTGTTATTTCTTTCACCTATTTCTTTCGCACAAATGAGACCACACTTGTGATCTTCTCATGACACACTGTATTTCCCTTTTATACTGGAAATCATCAAGTGAATCATCCAAGAATTGTGGTTGCTTTTTTCTTAGCATCACGTTAGACGGTTCAGTCATCCTGTGACTAAATACACCCAGACTTCTGCTGTTTGTTGTTTTCAACTGAAAATTCTTTAGTCAACAACAAAAATTCTGTTAAACAATCCTTAAATGTCCTATGTATTTTATGTCACCGGGTTTTTACTTCTACTACTTTGACAGTGCTATATAGTTCAAATATCTCCTCTATCATTAGCCAGCCCTCTCTTTTTCCAGTGATACCTCAATCTCATTAGTCTTTTGTGCCACGATAATTTCATTCCCATTTGCCTTTATAGTCTACTGCTATACTCTCCAGCTTTGCACAACGAGGTGACAACGTATTACTGTATCAGTGTAACTCCTTCATTTCTCTCGCCAGCTCCATAGACCCGTGTCACAAAATAACTTCTGCCTTTGCCATCCTTGGGACACATGCTAACTGTTCTCTATCTCCACCATTATCACTTTACTGATTTACTGAAAGTGCAAGTCCAGAAAGAAGGAACTTTGAGAAATTAAGGAACTACCCGCACACAAACGACACTCTTCCGAAAATGAGAACCTTAGTTACAAATACATTTTTGCTTCTCAGAACTCAATGCAAGCCACCACCTTAAGCAGACTATCCTCAATATTATCAAAAAAGCCTACAACAATAACCCACCAAGAATCCTATCAGACAATCTATCTTCACATGCAGAAATATTTAAGTCCTATTGATGTCAACAGTATTTTTTGATACTAAAGGAGTAGTGATCTGTGTATGGAGGGTTCATTTTTGTTTTTACACCCCCAAGCAGTTCTGAACATGTATTGCCTGTTGCTTTGCTGCTCTAAAGACTTACTGTATAATAGCTGACAATTTTCAGTCAGTTAAGCAAGATGGGCTATTCTAGATACTACTCTTTCAGGTCTTACTCCACCTGGGGGGGGAAAAAAAAAATCTAATAGTATACTGATATCTTAAAACAGGGAAAATATAAATTATTTAATTCCTGAGGAAAACCACATCCAGTTTCTTAGCATGAGTTACTGTATTTAAGCAGTATTAATTTGGTTCAAAAAGTAATTAGCTCGATATGTCAATTAAACCAACATATCAATTTCTGTAATTTGCTTCAGATGTAAGCAATTCAAACCACTTAGGTATTTTTCTTCACTAACATATCAAATTTGAGCAGTTCTGAACAAGTAAAACAACAAGAAACCAGCAGAACTGAAATACATGTCCAACGTAATTCATTCATCATTCTTTCATTAATCAAAGCTATCATTAACCAGACTTTGCTGACAGCACGCTTGTAGCCAGCAGATTAGCAGCAAGAGACAGCTCTACCAAGAGGTGGATTCTACTAACCAAAGAAGAGGCTGAAGGAAAAATGCAGAGGAACATAATATATCCAATGCTAAACTCAGTAAATACAGGGCTGTAGATACAGTATTTTCTGACAGACATGTAGAGGCAGCTACTGAACCTTATTTACCTTCAGCGTAGGAGCAACAAGGGGAATATAGGAAAGTTGGTGGTTTGTTTGGTTTGGTGGTTGTTGTTTTTTTTTTTTAAATGTGCACCAACATTGAAAGGGCACTATCCTTGCCTGTATAAAAGAAATTAAATTACAGAGAGAGACACAAAAGTATACAGGGAGGGGGAAAACCAAGTTTTCTAAAAACTGCATTTTTGACTGCTTCAAAAACAACCTCAACTGCATTGTACCACAGTTTGTAACTATATGTTTGAAAACTTCCTCAATCTATATAACAAACGAACATAACTCTAAAGTGAGAAAAGCATCACCTTCTGCTCTATCAAAAAAATCCAATGTTAAGAAAACTCACCTTCTACTGTGGATAGGGTCTGATCTTTCAGAAACAATACCTTATTACCATGATAAACAGCTGCAGCGTTTATCAGCAAAGGTTCGTTTCAATTATTTTATTAAGAGCTCTAACCTCAGAGTCCCACCCACTCATGTTTGTTGCCTCCATTTCCTGTCTTTGCAGAAATTTCAAAGAAAAAATTACCACATTGCAGCACTGAACTTCTCAGTGCTGTGGCTTTTTGATACTAGTTCTCCTGCCAACGCTTCTAAATCTTACAATAGGTTATCTTTTTACTAACATTTAAGATAGGTTGTGAAATATTCCTGCAGATTTCTCCTGTATCACTAATTCCTTACAATATTCAAATAACTTTCTCATGCCAAAGTGCAGCTAAAGAGATAACAGGGGGGGGAGTAAGCTGTAAAAAACTTCGATAAACTTTGAAATTCCAAATTCCACGTTTGTCTGCTCAGTGTAGATGCTTCTGTCGCACCACATCACAGGGCACCGCTAGTTAACAGAGTAAAATATTTTCAGATTTAAATTTTTATGTATCTGCAGAGACATTCCTAAAAATGCTAGCAGAAGGTCCTGTCTATCTGAGCAGGGACAGAGACCGAAAACTCGACCTGCCCCCAAAAATCAAGAACAGTCTTATAAGCTGCAATATTACGCCAAATACAGAAAAAAAACCCCAAACAAAACCACCAAAAAAAAAAGTAGCAGGGATGAAATTACATAATGCAACTAAAAAAACCCATGACAAATTATATTAGCTCAGCTACAGTACACAAAAGCTTTCGAAGACAGAATTTATTTTGTGTCCCATAGCTGAAGTGCTAAATTCTCACATGAGCTGGGAAAGAAAGAGGGTATTGTTTGGGAATATAGGTGGGAATCTTTTAAATATTTTCTGTCCCAAAAAGAAACGTAAGCTCCAGCCACAGCCTTGCTTTGTATTTTGACAAGGAGTACATGGAATGCGCTTCTCAGCAAAACTGGCGATTACTGCTTCAGACTGAGGTACTGAAACTGCACACAAACCTGCAGATACACCACAAATGACACAAGCAATTTAAAGCAACGGAGGAATTATTTACTTAATGTGAATAAATGCATGGTTGAAGCAAGACTGGATTTTTGGAAACAGAGATTGCAGCTTAATGAAAGGGAGTCTGCAAATAAGAATGACTGAGACACCCACTCATGATCATACAACGCACATAAACCATTTCTCGCAGCTCCAGTACACACCAACAGAACCGATGTAGAATATTTCGCAGACTAAGAGAGAACAGTGCTGCTTAAGAAATCTCTCAATTCATGATTGAACTGTTTTCACTTTTATTATCTACTTTCACTTTTACTATGCTCCTGGGAATTCTTACGGGTTTTCTTGGGTTGTGAATATCCTGCAACAAATGAGGCCAAAAGAATAGCTGTAATGAAGATGAAAACCAAAAAAAATCTAAACAACTGCAACAGTCTTCTAAATACTGAAGTTAATGCTGCATGAAGATTAAAAAAACAGCACCTACAAAATGTATCCAATTTATTACAGACAATCTCTTTCACAGTAACAGATTTGATTTTTTAAAATTAATTTTTAAATGTTTTTACGATAAAGGGGGAAAAAAAATTCCATGAATACTACTTGAGCTAACTTTGAAGTAAAATCCTGAGGACAAACAGCTAAGCCGGTTAATTGTAGGCTGCTTGCTTTATTCAAATGGTTGTTAAGAAATTTTATTTCCATGTCTTATGCTCTGTATCTATGTTCTGCTCAGTGTGCAAAGGCTACTGGCAATCACCATTTCCCAACTCCTAATAAACAGATCACTCAAATAACAACTCAGTGTAACCAGTAGTGTTATTTTCTTACCATGAAATGATTCACAAGTTTGCTTAAACAGTACAGGGTTAAATAAGGCAGTTTCTAGTTAAATACAGATGAGAAAGCAGTGTACAGCTGGATAACTCCAGGAAAAAAACCTGAAAACTTTTTTATTTAACTGATCTTGAATAAATCTTCTGATGTAGTATGATAAAAGCAACTGTAATTATTTAAAGTTTTTTGTGTCCACTTAATTCTCAAGAAAGACCTGACTGTAATGTTAGCATGCTCCTGGTTGCATAGCAAAAACCTACCAATACCTAGCAGAACTTTCAAAAGCAACCGAAACAAGCCTGCTGCTTTACAGCTTAAGCTGTTCAACAACACAACGACTTTGTATGAGAAAGACATCCTGAGAATGAGAAAGGCAGGTTCCAGGAACAAAAAAACCACTGTACCTGTAAAACCTTGAAAGGCAAATTTATCCTCTGTACGAATACAAAAGGGCTAACATCTACTCAGTATTTCAACTTGAAATGTACATGTTTAGAAGACAACAAATTAAACATAATGTTCTTAGATTAAGCTTCTTGAACTACATAGTGTTTCAGAAATGTCTTATTTTTCAAGTTTTTTCACCCCTGAAAATACTAGAAGTCTTTAAAATTGAAAACGCATTAATTGCACACTGTGATGGAGAGGACAGAGGAAGAAACAGATGATCTATTAAAAGCCTTTCGAGGTGTCTTTGTTAAAATACACCACTAATTTCAGTTCAGTAACATATGCATATATGCCTCAGACATTTATTGGTCATCAACATTACTAAACACCTCACGAGTTGAAGATGAATGCTGTATTCCTTAATCTAAAAGCAACAGTGGAAAATAAAATTACTGAGGACAGAAGAGCAAAGTATTGTATTAACTAAAAAAGCCAAAAAAGACTTGAGAAAACATCAGAGTAATTCCAGCCATGGCTTTCAATTCTATCCAGAGTAGGTATTACAAAATGCAAGTGACCCCAGCACCACTTGTTCAGTTTTGACTCAAAGAGAAGAGTGCCATCTACTGAAGAAGAGTTTCTAAAACAATAAATCATAGAATCACAGCATGGTTTGGGTTGGAAGGGACCTTAAAGATCGCCCAGTTCCCACCCCCCCCGCCATGGGCAGGGAGACCTTCCACTGCTCAAAGCCTCATCCAACCTGGGGGACCCGCCAAAGGGGGGGCCAGCCACAGCTTCTGTGGGAAACCTGTGCCAGTGTCTCACCACCCTCACCCTCATTAGATATTTCTTCCCAATATCTAACCTACATCTCCCCTCTTTCAGGTTGAAACCATTACCCCTCATCCTGTCACTACCCTCCCTGATCAAGAGTCCCTCCCCACCTTCCCTGTAGGCCCCTTTTAAGTACTGGAAGGCTGCTCTAAAGACTCACCGGAGCCTTCCCTTCTCCAGGCTGAACAACCCCAACTCTCAGACTGTCCTCATAGGGGAGGTGCTCCAGCCCCCTGATCACCTTCTTCATGGCCCTCCTCTGGACCTGCTCGAGCAGGTCCATGTCTTTCTTATGCTGGGGGTCCCAGGGCTGGGGCTCATCTACTCCTCAAAACCAAGTATTGATTGGCTCTCCTCCACTCTACTTACCTGTGGGGAATTGCCACATTCAGAGTGCAACAAGAAAAACAGGTTTTAACTGATTCATAACTGTCATTTAAATAAATAAAACTCAGTAGTCACAGTGTTGAGTCTTTTGAGTACTAAAAAAACCTGCCCCAAGTAAAAATCTAAGCAGACTCCCAAAGTAAATTAAATAGAGTAAAACATAATTCTACCAGCACACAGAACAAATTGATCTTATAAGAATCTACCTGTTGAACAAACACATCACAGCACCTTCTGCCCTCAAATGCTTCTAACACAGAGCTGGGTATCTATGGTGTGTGCAGCTGAAAACTCAAATTATATTATTGCATAGGGGGAAACAAGTCAGGGGGGTGGGGGGGAAATCAAGTAGAATTCACCAATGCTCCAAAAAAGTGTTTGCAGTTACTTGAGATAGGTTGCTGAGCTTGTTAGTAAAAGTCTGCGAGCATAAATTTGAACTCCAGTGTTCCTTAAGGAGTAACTATGCTAAAAGACATTCCCCATCTCAGTAAAAGTATAAGCATAGAGAAAAAACCCACAGAGCACGCTCCCTGGTCAGAAGGATTCTTCCTATTAATGATCAGAGCAGGCTGCCAAACAGATGCACCAGCAGTTTTACTCTTGAATACTCTATCATAATTTCTGAATGAATCTATGTCTTGACTGTTTCGTTGTTATCACTAAACCCCTCAAGAAACACAATTAAGTAATAGATTCTATGATTAGCCAACTACCCTCTGATGGAACACCTCCAGAAGCAGGTCACTCTCAGTCAAGTTTTTCATAGTAAAATACCTCATTGGGACTACAGTGATAAAGCCATTCTCAACAAGAGACACTCAGTGTCTCACTCAGACATTCCCAGCACCCTGTTCTAAAGGAAACGGGTGTGTACAGTTTTAGGTTGTTATCAGGGATAAAACATACCCAATAACTCAATATGGTAATGGAATAGTTAGAGACCATTATCTGCAATAAAGACAGCACAAAGAGGGCCAGTATATGTAACAAGGAACTGCACAGAAGGAAGGCAGTTCTGAATTTTGAAAATATATGAAGGATGAAATATTAAAGAATAACGTTATTAACTTTCCATCATAAGATTCTCCTCCATTTCTGGCTGCCCCAAAGAGACACCCTCCCATACCAAAATTAAACACCTTAATATGGTTAAGTCAAGCCACCAGCAACAGTGAACGACAGTTGCTCTTTATTTTACATTTCTGCAAACAGAAAACAGTAATCCTGTAACATCTTAAAAGACACCAACAGAAGACTTACTGATCCTGTAGGGATGTAAATTGCTTACCTTGCAAATACCCTGTCTTTGTTTGCTCTTTCTTTACCATACTGCACAGACTGTACCTCCGTTCTCCCACTGGAAAACAAAACAAAACCAAACCACTAAATGCAACAAACTTAGGGTGACAATTTCTTGCTTAAAACTGAACCATCTCAACGAAAAAGCCCCTAAATTCTATTTTCAGTCATGTTCAAGCAATTGCACTAGCTTCAGTACAATGTAACTTTAGATAACATTCAGGTAAGCATAGGTCTTCTTTCCCATTAGAGTCTAACTGTAACAAAGACCAATTAATTTTAGGCATAACATAAAGCTTTATCTTCTCTTCCTTTTTCTTCTTATCCAAAGCAATAAGAAGGTTCTGCTTGGATCTCTGGATAACAACACTATAATCTTTCCTGTCACAGCCACAATCAGAAATTACAGCATCTCCTCCATACTCCTCCTAAACTATTCCCTGAATTGCTAATAATTTAGTCGCTACTTAGTTCAGCAAAATACCATGAAGAAATTAGATAAGCACATCAGGATTGTATTCTTCTATGCAACTTGTCAAAACCAGGATTAGAACTTGGAACTTGCTGACTTTTCATATAAGGCCAGATGTCTTGTGTTAAATCAAAGATCCTTTATAATATTTGATAATTTCTGTTTTTAAAAAAATACTTTTTTTTGGTAGTGTCTATCAGCAGTTAAGAATTGGTGGCAAGATATCAGCAAAACTCCGTCTTGCAGCCACTTCCCCACATATAACTTCATACCGAGGCAGAGAGTCAGAGGATACATGTCCTAAAGGATACTGATACTTAAAACTCTGCTCTTTTCTCTTCCTTACAGGGACATTTACACTATGAAATCAAAGAATATTTAGCTATTTTAACATTCATATTACAGAACTGCTGGATGTGTGAAGGTCAGATAAATGGGCCAACTGGAATCTCACAAAATTCAGTAAAGGGAAATGCAAAGACCCACACCTGGGGAGGAATAACCCCATGCACAGGCTGAGGGCCAGCTGGCTGCAAAGCACGTCTACTCAACACTGGGGAGAGCACTTCTGCAGTGCTGAGGCGAGTTCTAGGGTCCTCCAAGTCAAGCAAAGGGCAATTAAGGGTCTGGAGCAGCTGACATATAGGGAGAGGCTGAGAGAGATGGGACTGTTTAGCCTCAGAAAGAGAAGGCTCAGGAGGATCAAATGATCCTTCTCAAGGGAGCCCAGAGAAAGGATAAGAGGCAATGGGCACAAACTGAAATATGAGATATCCTACTTAAACAGAGGGGGGGAAAACAACAACAACAAACTCCACAAAACAAAAATACTTTTTTATTGTGAAGGTGGTCAAACACTGGATCAAGTTGCTCAGAGATGGTGTGGAGTGTCCACCCTTGGAGACGTTCAAAACCTGCCTGGACACAGTCCTGGGCAATCTGCTATAGTGGACTCTGAGCAGGGCATTGGACTAGACAAATGTCCAGAACTGCCTTCCAACCTCTGCCATGCTGCAATTCTAAGAAATCTCTCTTTTCAAACCTGCTGCCTGCTAACTTCCTGGGGTTACACATTTTTAACTCTGACAAGCAATATGCCATCTATATTTTCCTCTATTCCTTTCCAATAACTCTAACATTGTATTTGCTTTTCTCTAACTCCTACTCATAATTGATTTAACATTTTCAGAGGACTACAAAGCTCCAAGACAGTAAGTAATAGCTTATTTATAATTGATGTTCCTCTTCTCTTGTCTCCCTGTGTAGATTATTTTGCATTTTTTGGACACCGAACTTGATCTACCATTTTATTGCCTACTCATCCCTCATTGTGACACACCACCGAAACCTTCTACACTCAACTTCAGCTTTTACTAAATAACCTGTATAACTTCAGTGGTAACTTCCCCTCATTATGAAGAAGGGGCTTACTTGTTTCCCATCTGGTTAAAACAGTTGCTAAAATACAATAAAACTCATGTTTTGGCAGTTTAACTTCTTTAATGAGTATTTAGTGAGGAATACTATTTGAACCACTTTGAAAATCCAAGGACAGTGTATAAAAGTCAGATTTCTCTCACCGGTAGTCTCCTTGATCCCACCTGGAAGCTTTGGGTTTTTTTAAAAAAAAACACAAGCAAACAACAAATATGTGCTTTAACATTTGCTGCATTAGAATCTTAGTCCATCGGAAAGAAGAGATTATGTTAACACATTTAATAGTTCAACAATTTCATGTCTCTGATTTCTTTCAGAACTGGAGATAATTCTGTCTAGCCCTGGCAGTTTAGTATTTTATTAGTTTGGTTTAATCAGGGAAATGCTGGCTAGAAGTCTCTAGTCCAATCTCCTCCTAACACTCGATCATGCTGGCCATGGCTTTGTCTAGCTGAGTTTTGAAAGCCTGCAAAAATAGAGATCCCACAATCTCTCTGGGTAACTTGTTCCAGTAATGCACTACCCTCCTAGAAAAACAAAAAACCAAAAACTTTTCCTGATGTCTAGCTAGAATCTTCAAGGTGAAATTTGTGGCTGTTGCCCCTTGTTCTATCACCTGCCATTACCAGCACAAGTTTGGCTCCATCATTTCTGAACTGCCCTTGAAGTACCTTTAGGTTTGCTACTAAATTCCTCCCTTAATTTCCTCTTCACCAGATTAAACAAGCCCAGTGCCCTTAACCTCTCCTTATGTGCCATGTCACTACTATTATGCTGTCTCTAAACAACTTCTCAAACTACTTGTAGAAATTCTAGCCTTTTGGCTGCTTCATTAACTTTAATGACCTTCTTCATTTTTATGCAGTTTCCCTTTTCATCTTACATTAACATAAGTTGAATGACATCATCAAAGAGCTATTCTGTAATAGCAACCACAATGATTCACATTCAAAATCTTTACAGAAATGAAAAAGCTTCCCCAAATTCACTACAGCAACATTGAACCAAGTCTCAAACACTGTTCAGGATTACAGAATGCTGTTTCCCAAATGGGTGCTGTGAATGCTGGTCAAAAAAACAGATGGTATAAAAATTTAGCCACTGAATTACTTTGCTCTTTATACATTTATGCAACTCACAAGTGTAACAGAAATAGTCTGTTATTGTGTTTTCTAGCTTTTCATCATCTCCCTTTGTAAATCACAGATACTGCTGCCATTCTAGATGGATGATTAGCAGTGGTTCCATTATTCTCTACTTCAGGCACGATTTAAACCATCGGCATTCTACATCACTTGCAGAGACAGTTAACTCAGTTACTTAACTGAGATTTTTTTTTCATATAAAAGGCATAAAACACTTTAAAAACCAACACCACCCACTCCATTGTTAGAACAGAAATTATACTTCAGGATTATAGTTATTCCACAGTCATTCTTTGCACCTCCAAGTTTTTGCCTATTATGTCAAGTTCATCCTTTGCCTATTATATTCAAGCTCATCCTTAAATGGCCTTAATTTCATCTTTATTTTCTACACTTTCGGTTTTGGTGCAGCACATGTATGGCTTTTGTCTTCACCTAGTTGCCCTTTGGTATGCATCTAGCTTAAGTGGGTTTTACTTGTACAAGCTTCTTTTCATTGATTTCTATTTGATCTTTATTTAGGTCTGTTTTGTTGCTGCTGCTGAACACGAGATCTGAGATCCATCAGTTTTCAAAAACAGCAGGCCAAAGACTTTGAAGTTCTGAGACAAAATTTTTAAGATAAACATAACCCAGCAGGTAAGCAGTTGAAGAAATGCAGCCTGTGAGACAATCTCAGACTGCTAATAATACAATAATTATATTTCTATGACATCCTAGAAAATTACTGACAACATTTGAAATTTAGGTCAACAGGGGAGGGGAACAGTTGCAGGGTTCAAAAGCTACTTGAATTACGGCACCTTTTAATACAGATTCTAAGTAATTCCCTATGTTTATTAATGAGTTATGTTCTTTCCCATATATTTCAAACCACCACTTACCAGTACCGGAACTTGGAACCCAAAGTGAAATAATGTGCAAAGAAGTTCTTCTGAGGGGGGAGTGGTCTGTCCAACCGGAAGAATGTGTGATGTTCAACACAAGCTTTCCACAAATTCTTACATGCTCGGTAATTCACCATATTGAATCCCAGTAATGTCTCTCTAGATTCATGCTAAAAAAAAGAAAAATTTCTTTCAGATAAAAATTATTCCCAGTTACTTTTGAAATTAAGATGAACGTTCGCTTTGGGTGTTTTTTTGGGGATTTTTTTTTTTTTTTTAATTATGCCTGTTGAAGCAGGTCTTTAATTTTACATTAACTTTCTGTATTACAAACCACTTTAAAACACCTCCAAGTTTTCTTTAAAGGAATTCTTTTCTTCCTTTCTTTCCAATGAGCCTGCTCAAAGGTTAACAGCCTATTTTAGTGATATTTAGTTTAGATAAGAAGAAATGGTCCCAAAAAGTAGGACCTAAACTACATTAAAAACTTTCTGTGATTTAAGACTCAAAGGCGACATGCCTCTCTGTTTCAAGATTACTAGTTAAGATGAAGAACTGTCATGCACACATGCCAATTGGAGATTGGGAACAGGTACTGATATCAAGAGCAACTGATGCGCCTACTTCTAAATGATTAATTAGGTTCCAGGCAAAAGAAAGAAGCAAAATTGCAAAGCAATCTAAGCTATTCTGCCTGTTGAGGGAGCTTGATTACAACCTTTGTAGGGCAGAAAACATCATCAGCACTGTGCCTTCTCTTCCCAGTACTAAATCCTCCACAATATTTAGCACATCTTAACTGTTTTCCCTTAGCAGCAAACTCCTTTTCCAAGTTAAGCTTTTGTTGGTGGCTGATCTTTAGCTCTGTTGAGATACCCAGGCATAGAACTGCAACTCTTCTCCCAGTGTTGTATTTGGGAAGTCGTCGTGTGACTAACGGCTAAGAAGGACACTCTATTTTCAGCCACAGGATGAATTCAGGGTAGAGAATTAAATGGATTTAAAAAGTAATCAGTAAATTCTGAGTATCTATTGATGAAATTCAAATTATATGCAAGAAACTAAAGCCTGATCTTTTCCTTCAATTTACAAAAATTACTTAAATTCCTTTTCTTAATTTCCAAGTATTGCCAAATGTTCCCTGTATTTTCTAGACAGAAGTACTTAAAAATTAAAAGTCACAAACAAGGTAACAGAAGTCCATTATCTATTCAGTTAAAAAAGGCTTTATCAACAGAAATGTAAATGTACAATAATATAAACAAGATATATTACTATTCTGCAAGGCAGCAACTACGTAGTTATGGACTGCCTCATTTAGATCCAGTAAAGGATGAATCAGCTAAGATTTTTAGATTCCAACAAAAAGTTCTCATGATGTAGCACATTTTAATGCTGTCAGCCTTTTACACTGTTGGAAAAGAGAATTTGACAGGTTATATGACCTGATGACCATGCACTTTCATGTCACTCAAAGCATTATAATTATGGGTTGGAGGAAAAAAAAAATATCCTGTTGTTTCCCCTAGTTTGTATTCCAGAGAACGAGCTGATCTGATTCTCATGCCACCATCTGATCACTAGATCAGGCATGAAGCATGAAGGAGGAGCTGCTACCACATGATGAGAAGGAGCTGCAGCTAGATCAGCTTAATTGTAATGCGAAACAGCACTTTCACAGGAACTTGGCGTGTTAGAGCTTTAAAGGTACCTTAACAATAGTTCTATTCATAGCTTTTAAGGCTTTCATTGCAGCACAGAGAGAACTGATTCTCAAACCCTAACCTTCATCTTAATTACAGCTAGGAATCAATCTTTAAGGTAAAGAAGACTGTAAGATGTTGGCTGCTAAGCGCACCCACGCCTTTCCTATCTACCCTTTCAGGTTCTGTAATATCCAAATGTAAGTCGGGCACTTGAAATTCATCTTTGTTGATGATTGTAGGGTGAAAGCCGTGGTTCTACTGCTGTCTGGTAGCTGGATTTAGAGTAAGATTGCCCCTGTTTTCCCTGAAAATCGGAGGCTTGAATCAATGTGGCCTCAGTGCAAGACCCCAAGGCAACATTTGTAACATCCATGGGACTTTAGCAAAAAGCACATAAAATAACAGGATAGCTGCACCGCAGCCTATGAGAACGTTTTTATAGCACAAGGCTCCAGGAAGATGCTGAATGCTCTATGGTATGACAATGACATACAGGTATTTCAGGGTATTAGGTCTGTGAAGATAGTGCTAGAAGACTACCTCAGTGCCCAGGATTCTACTTCGAAATTACTATCTTACTAATTGTGTCCACGGTTCCTATCAGAGAGAGGAAAAGAGTCTGCTTGCTCTGGAGGGGCAGAAGACTGAAGCTGCTGGAATGCAATACCACTGATGAGATTCAGGGCCCAGGCGTGAGACTACAGGTAAGCCAAATACCACCATGTAAGTTAACGTAGATCATAACCTGACAAGCATACACCATGTGCCAAGCTACCTATAGAATCCAAGAAGAAACTGGAGGGATAACGCAAAGAAAAGCCTAAGTTGTATTTGCGGTTCCCTTTCTTAAAAGGACAGAAAACAAATCAAAAAAAAGCAGAATGAATATTGGTGCCCCTCTCACATACAACAGCAGCTCAGCCCTCGAACATTCACCTTGGGTGGGCACATTCATTCAAAACCACCTTTGCTGATTTGAAATAAGGGACTTCAGAGCAGATCTCTCACAGCTCAGGAGAGAAACTGGGTTGAAAAACATGTTCTCTAGTGGGTCTCTCTCACATTGCCTAAACAACAACAAAATCCCTGAACAGAGCAAAAATTCCCCACCCCCATCTCCGAGAGACACAAAAAACAGTCGCACTTCGTAAGTGACAGATACTCCAGACTCAAGATATTCCACAAATAGCGGACAAAAGTCCTGTGGAAGCTTAAATGCAACACAGATTGTGCCAACAGTATCTGCTCTTCACACAAAAACTCCATGGCAGGAACTTGGATAGGATTAGGCAACAATCAACTAGGCATCTAATGAATGCCGGTGTTACTTAACATCAAATATGCACTTGGCAGATAAGCCCGTAGATCACCTTGTGATTCTAGCCCAAGTTCTTCCTAAAGGTCAGTAAGAAGAAAAAATTCAAAAGCACAAACTTCAGATACATAACCTATAATAATTTTAAAATAAATAAATAAATAAATAATATCATTTTGGCCACTCACTGAAACCAGGTCTCAGTCATGGACAAAACCCATGATACTGTTTTGTTACAGCCTCAAGTAATTTTTCAGTGGACATTGGGGCTCTAAAAGAGCAAAGGAACATGCTGAGCCTCTTATTTGGCTGTCAAACAATGAAGAGCACTGAAGTATGCTGGACAGCATTAAGAGTCTGATGCTGACTATTGACATTACAACAGACAAGGGTGCAACTAACTAAAACCAGAGAGGCTTAGTGAAACATTCAGAAAAATGAAACTACGCCATTATTCCCAAACAGCTTCAAAGCATGTAAGGGAAGCAGCATATGGAACGGGCGGGATAAACAAAAATATGGTGAAAAATCCTGTCATCGACATTATGGCTCAGGGGTCTTCTAATGTCAGATGAAGAAGTCATACGTGTAACATTCTTCCCCCCCCCAAAAATCATAAAGAAACAATGGGAAGAAAATCTACCCCACTGGATACATGCTCCAGCTATATAATTGTCAGAATATACAACTAGCTTCCATTCAAGATTATACTACGCTACCAGTAGAAAATGACTTCGACATTAATCTGACTTCCTTTAAGTGATTTATTTAAACACAGATATAATCTATTAAAAGTAGGCAAGTAATTCTTTACTTATGTTGATGCCTCTAAGCAATGCCAAGTCAGAGAATAAATTTAATAGGTGATTAAAAGATAAGGCACTTGCACTTTTGAGGACAGTTGCAATTAAAAGCTCTCAACACTCCTTAGCAGTATCTGAAAAATATCTGTTTAGGACTACTTAAAAGCATACGTAGCCCAGTTTGGAAAAAAAATAAAAACACTGGAAAATTCCTCTCCCAAGTCCACTAATTGACTATCCTATAGCATATCTTAGCTTTGCATCGGAACAAACGTGGTTACTCAGCTGTACAATTTGTTATATATTTACATACAACTTTGAAACACATCATCAGCATACCATGAATGTATTTTCACTGCCATATCGTAAATCAGTGCTTTTAAATATACACTCAAAGGACTAGACCAGAGATATTTTACATACCAAATGTGCAATCACTGAGTCACTTCACCTAGTTTCTGCCGCCTAAAAGAGCCATTTAGGCTCCCTTTATTGTTAATGGGAGTAAAAGCAAAAGTAAGCATATACCACCAGAGAGCAACTTAATCCATCCCAAAACATACTTCCAATTCATGCAAGATGTTTCAAGCTTTGCACGTTTCTGGTTATCATAGAGGAAGTCTAATTATTAGCTTTGGTTAGCTAATTATCATGAAACAGAAAATATGTTCTTTTGACCTAACTGAAGCTGAATATAGGTGAGATGACTTATCCTATGAGTCTACTCAGGGAAAATAACTCTGGAAATAACAATTTTAATATTAGGTTTGATTAAAAAGTTAGTTTAAGTATGGCTTCTTTGGAAGCCAAATTTGAGCTTTGATCTTCAGATATTCATGACCTGGAATGAATAAAAATTAAGTTCTTGCCATCAGTTTTCATCTGATACATAGAGTTTAAAGAAAAACAGCATGAGGCTTTTTCATTTGTGGGCTTGGATAAGATGTCTCAGAAGAGAAATTACATTAGTTACTTACAGTACATTCTGGTGCAAGTAACAATATGCAGAATATTAAAAAGCAATAGAAAAAAGCTGAGAAAGCTGTCTCTATATTACGTTCAATTATATGCAGAATTTTTTTCTGCAGAAAACAGAGAAAACACTCTACTACAGTTCCCATTCCAGTTTTATATTCAGGCATATCAGTCTTCAAGGTCCTGAACTTTGCTACTACAGCCTTCTTCTCAAGTTCTGATTTAGAAAACAGCTCCAGTTCATAATTTCTGAACTCCACATAAAAAACCAGATCTAAATACAACATTCCTGCAACTGTAATGGAATTAACACACACTGGTATCGAGACAAAATTTCACCTCTGGGCTGTCCGAGATCAGTTTGCCTTTAAGAACTAGCCTATAGATCCTGCAGGGCTTTAAGAAATACCTGTATCACCATGGTGAAATATACAAAGAAGGGGGGGGGGGGTATCATTACCATTTTTCTGCTCACATTGCATGGTGTCTGCTCACATTGACAGATACTACCATTCATTTCACATAACAGCCAAAGTTCCTTTCTTCCTACATGTGATTACTGCAAAATCCTCTAACTCCTGTTACCCTAACTTCTGAACAGATAGCACTGATTCACGCTACTCCAAGCACACAGGCTAAACTTCTCCTGTCAACTAATACACAACAAAGTGCCTGCATGTGGTCAGGTAGTTCCATTTGTGAAATCTGCAAAATCCTGGGCCTCATTTTAAAGATATGCAGTTTGACTCCTCTTTTCAGTACTAGTCACCAGCCATTGGCCTGATCAGACATAACAGGTGTTTCCTCCTTACATTTGTCTTGTCTAACAACATTGTCTCTAAATCTGGAATAGTCTATAGTACTCAGGACGCATTTCTGCCTGGAATCCATCTTTTTCATCAAGTCAGTAATGCTGCATTCCAGGTCTTCAAATACTTTCAGCTGCAAGAACGCCACAAAACCTTTTAACTAATCTGATGAGTTAATCACATAGTAATATTTTTAATTAATTCCTCCATCTTTCC